CCGGAAACAAAAATAGCTGCATTCTACCTTTTTATTTCAAAATTAAAAAAAAAAAAAAAAAATAGACCCATTCTACAATCTCATACCCCTCCTCCAAATACCATGTAAAGTAATAGAAATCAAGCTCCATGTTAGAGGGCATATCAAAACTCCCACAATCTTGGAAAACAATTTTGACCCAACCCTCTACAATACGTGATAATGAATAAACAAGTGGCTATTACTCTTTAATCCCTGAAAGAATATCAAACTGAAGGCACAAGGCTCTACAAGATCTCCAAACCAAAAGCAAAAAATTGGTGTTAATATTGCTTAGAACCACAGTCCAAACAAAAATTCCCACCTGTTGAGAATTCTCACCTCCCAAAAGGAGTGGAGGGAACTCTCTGGTCATTAAGAACCAGTAGAACAAATATCTGATAGATAATGAGACCTTAATCAAGAGAACCATGCATATAAACTGAGCCAAAAGAATAGCTGCAAATCCCTCCAAGGACAGAAATGGCAAACGAGGGATAAAGATTCACGTTGTTAGAGAATCCCCTAATGACAGCCAAAACAGTTTTGTTAATTTTCAGAAATTGAATGTCCATCCAGCTTAGACAGACCTCTTAAAAGGTCTCTTGATTAACAAGGCTCCAGGCATCATTTCAATCATTACTTAAGTTACAGAAATGCAGTACATCTTCCAATGATTCAACTACATGAGACCAGCTAAACAATTACTCAATACCTCATACATATTGCTTGGAAAGACAATTTAGAAACTAAGAGAGAAAGACCACCTTAATGTAAGGGTGGAAAACGGAAGGAGAATGAGAAGCTAAGACCAATCTTGTAAATACAAGAGCTTCTATCTTCAAATTTGAAGTTGAAGATTTGTCCTGAAAAAGATTAAGAGCAAGATTTGACAAAATAAGAATGTCTTATCTGATTATCCTAATAAAAGAAAAACAATAAACAAGCAATCAAGTAGCTACTTACGTTTAATGCCTTTTCAATTCCTGGAATGAGTGATCCAATATGACCTTCAAGACAATCAGGCAAGACAACCACAAGTTCCTTCAGAACAGAAAATGCACCAACCTGCAGGGATGTTATATTATGAACAAAAGAACGTTATATAAGTTATTTAGAGGAAGAATGTCCTCTTTTTCCCATACGGGGTAAATGATCAGTTGGCCATACACACTCAAATTCATAATTGAGCTTTGTCATGGGAATAGGCTTAGTTACAAATTGGCTGCATCCCGTTTATGCCCCATAAATAAAAGTTGTAGAGAACATATTCACGCAACATACACTCATATAATTAAGTGAAAACAAAAAGCAATAGAGAGAATGCAGAGAATTTTACATAATTCGGCAATATGCCTATGTCAATAGAGGCCCCATGCAAGCTTTCACTATAAAGAATCAATCTTACAAGTATAATTTTTCCTTCATTTAATGGACTAAGGAGAAAAAGCTTATAACCCCTCCTATTCTTCTTAAAAAATAACACCGCATACGCTAATGAAAAATTTAAAGAAAAGTAAAACCTAGGCGAAAAATAACACCACCTCTACTTAGACCTTTTCGGGAACATTATTCTCTCTGAGTATGAACCACGACAATCAACATAAGTTCCTTATTTTATCAACTAAATAATGACAAAAAACAATCTGTAAAGAAGATTCCATCCTCTTTTTCCTTTTTAATTTTTATTTTTTATAACTTTTTAAGCAAGGATCCTTTTTCCTTCCATTTTTAAATAAAGATGAGTTTGGTCCATTTCCTATAACCCTAGATATTAAATTTAGAAGAAAAGAAAAATCACGATGTTTCAGCAATTATTACCTTCGTCTTAACAGATTTCTCCCTTAGCTGCCTGTTTATAGACTTGACAATCTTGGGCACTTCTTGCTTCAATAACCACCTTGGACTGCATGAAGCAAAATTTATTCATTGGCACTAACAAGTAAGTCATAAACAGGAAGCCACATGTCCAAAGCAACAATTAAAGCACAGACAAAGAACAGCAGTCTATTTAACCATATATGTCAAACACTGGGATTGTGCAAATCTTGGACTGGAAAATCTCTAGACCAAAACAATTAAATGCCCCTTGAGAAGAACACTATAATGTCAAGGTTATCTATCATGTAGGAATTAGAAGCAGATAAAAATGGTAGAAGTAAAGGAGCCACGTAATTTGATATTGAGGTAATTAGAAATCTAACTAGAATTTTGCTACATAACATTAAAACATATTTATATCAAAATATTCTAATAAGCATTCAGATAACTTTTGAGTGTTAAACTACAACATTAATTGCTAAAAGTTCAATCTCCAAAAGAAAATCTAAATGATATTTAAAAAATAAATAAAAATTTGCACGACAGCATCTACTCAAATAGAAAACCCATATTTTTCAAACAAAGCTATAGCTCAAGGATACAAGGGACTTGCCTCAATTCATTCATGTCAACTTGCCCTTTTGTCACATTTCCAGTTTGGCGCAATAACTCAATGAACGTATTGAATACATCCATCTGCAGAAGAACAGGATTGGTCTAATAACTATGTTTATATACAGGATATCTCAAAGCAATTTAACAAGCACCTTGACATTTTCTTCTCTTTCTTTAAATCTGTCAATCAACTTTGGACAGGCCTGCAAGAAGAAAATTAAGTATTAAAACAAAAAAAATGAGGGCAACTATCACTTATAACAACTAAAAATTTCCATAGATGAAAGAAAGAAAATATATTTGCTTTCCAAAACCTCCTCATATAACTTCGATAGCATCTCAGGACGAGAAACAATTACTGCTGCTAAGCACTTAGCTGCAGCTCTCCTAACCTTCCAGCTGACATCTTCATCATCTGTATACTCATTTGCACTCTCACTAG